AGAATAACGGACTCCACATTGAGCTCGCGTACCCTGCGGTCAATGAGCCTTAAAAATTGTGAGCCTGCATTAAGAATAGCAATACGCTCACTCTCAGGTTGTTTGTTAGAATCCGACATAAAGCCTGATAAGAAATGAGAAACAATGTTAGAAATAAGGAATACTAAGTAGAAACGTGAATCGTCCTTTCCTAACAAATCGCTATTATTTTGAATGTTCGGGGAAAAAGTGAAATAAGTATGCATAGGTTTCAATTATTAAAGCAAGCTAGACATTACAACACCGAACATCACGAATTTCAAAGAATGCTTTTTTTCTTCTATTGTGTGAAAATGAAGTGCAATAGCATCGACTTCATTTAGAGCTGAAATGCCACTAAGTTTGTTGACTTTCCTTATAACTAGCACGCGAAATTAATCTCAAAAGGTAAAGCGGTCATCACGAAAGGCAAAAAACTCGCAAATACCTTCCACTGAACTCCATACCTTCCATGTTCCCAGCTGCTACCCTTGCATCATCTTCCTCTTCAAACGTCACTTCTACGGTACAGACACCTTTGTTTGTCTCACTGGCATACGTGTTGTGCTTTTTCAAGGTGCCACTGCCAATTTGCTTGTAGCTGATGACTTCACCAAAGGATGCACAAAGTCGTAGCAATGCATCCTCGTCGTACTTGTCAGGCAGGTTACGAATTCTTATATTGTAGGACATTTTTTTGTATCACTGATATATATATCTGAACTAAACAAGAATAATTAAGAAGTTACAGATTTATGTACTCTATACCTATGGAAGCATGCATAGTGTTTAAACGGTGAATATGAATGCTATTTATGATACAGAACACATTCATACACAAACTTAATAGAACTGTAAGAAGGAAAAGAACAATTTGTATGAAGCATTCTTTCAGCTAAATAAAATATCACATAATGAGAACAAAAGCAGCAAAGATCACCTCAGCATCTCTTCTCTCGTTATCTTTTTCTTATTTGAAGAAAAATTTATCTAAATATAAGAGACAAATCACGTATGGAACGGCTGGCGTTCAGGTAAGAGACATGGGGTTTTCCCTTCAACCACTTTCTCCTCATACGCTCTAGCCTTGCTGAATCTACTCTATTAAGAAAAAACGTACAGATAAAAGCAAAATAAATGCGAGCACAACGCCGATCACAATGCATACCCAGACAAATGTCCTGTCTCTGCACGAGGAATGCCACAAGCCCACCAAAAAACGTTATCCCGCAGAGAGTAGCGCACTTAGCTCACGCAGAGTCGCCAGGTTTTCGTTCGGATTGAGTGCATTGGCTTCTTGAATCAGGTTCGCCCAAGTATCTTTGCCGCTTTCCGTCGCTGCGACTTCTTCTAGTAGCCATTTATGTGCCCTTGAGGCCTCGTTCCAGGCACGCAGAGCCTGTTCAAGCGCCCAGGACTTCGCCTCGGCCTCAATAGTGGCCTCTGTCTCAGCAATTTTGCTCTTAAGCTGAGAAATTTTCTGTTCGTGAGTTTCACGCTCTTGTGGGAGGCTCTCTTCGACTTTTTTGATAGTTGCGAGCAACTGCTCCTTCGATGCCGCACGATTGGCCTGAAACTCAGAGAGCCTACTCTTGATTCCCGCATCCCGCTTCTCGACTTCCTTCAACTGCTCTAATACGGTATTTTTCCTCTTCGTGAGAACCTTGAGATGCTCCTCATTGCGCCGCCGTCTCTCCTCGACCTTTCGTCGGAGCTCAGCGGTTTCCTCTTCAATGGCCTTAAGCTCTGATTTTTTGCGAGTCACATCCGCAAGAACAGCGTTGATAGTGTTACGCAGTTTTTCCTTCTCAAAGTCCCATTCTTGCTTAGATTTCGAATGCTCTCCATCGTATATTCGTAAGGATTCTCTCGCTTCTTCGAGTTCTTTGTTTTTAGTTTTTAAGTCTGCATTAAGCGAGCGCCAACGCTGAATAAGTTCTTTGACTTGGGCAGTGTCCATCTGATTTCTATACCACCCTTTCCTTGCGACCTATTTATTTAACCTCTATATCGTTGTGTTTTATCGCAAATACGTCTTTTCCTTCTTTAAACATCCAGCACGTACACACAAGTCAAGGGAAAAATTTCAATAAAGCGAGAATCAACATTATTACAGTAGATTTTAAAAGCAGCATAAAATGACCCGCCTACAAGAATATGTGGCGAATAATGCGAATAAAATAAATTAAAGTATATAACTTTAGCCATTGAATTAATTACTTACATTTTAAAATGAATACGCCTTTTTTATGATAATATGGGAGAATCAATTGAAACAACCCTTTAACAGAGGATTATCGTTTAGAACAAGAGGTTATACTAAATGCTTGAAATAAATGAGGAAATAAATGGAAATGGATACCTATACAGGCATAAATATTTGTATGCGTATAATAACAATGATATATAAAGTCCATTCGCTAGGTTCCATTTCTTCAGCCAATTCACCCTTTGAAGACTTTTCAAAAAGGATAAAATAGTAAAAGAGCATGTGTTTTATTTTTCCTTTTAGTATAAACTCCAGACAAGTATTTAACAGAATTCTTCTTTAGGGGAGAATTAAAAAAAACAAACCAGCCCCTGATAAGCTAATTTTAAGAGCGTGATTACCACCATATTTAACGCTGAATTATGTGGGGAGCAAGAGGTGAAATCTCAAGACAAATCCACTGATTTTACCTATGGAAAAGAAGCGTGTTTCAAATTGATAAGCATGCAAAACTAGTAAAAAAAAATGAAGAATAAAATAAAGAGAGCACAGAGACACAAAAGAGAGAAAAAACAAGCGAATGATAGCGCTAGTAAGGCTTATGGTGTAGTGGCAACGATATGCGTGAAGGGGGAATAGATAACTTTTTAGGAAATAAGCTCAATAGTGTGCCTAAGATTTCCCATCATTCAAAGCATACATATACATATATACATACAGGCAGACAATATCAATGACAGTGCAACAATATGTCGACATAGTGATCGGCAATTTATCCCACTTGACTTTTCGTGTTCCCTGAGTAAGCTTATCTGAAAAATATTTGCTTTTAATGGGCTTCGTTTTTGCTTCCATGAACCTCAAAGCTTGGTTTCCATCAATAGCTTATCATCTTTTAGCAAAAAAAGTTTAATTTCAGCTTTACAACTCTCACATAAACATACCCTGTTTGCCTAGAACACCAAAAAAAATGAAAACAAAAAAAGCGTCTATTCCAAATATACAAAATATATAATGAATTATTGAAAGCAATGCGCAGGGTCTCAATGTTCCTTCTCTCGCTCACATTAAATATAATAATTGCATATGTCTTATTTTTCCGCTCTTGACATCCGAAAAATATCACACAATCTGTGACGCTGATGCACGGAAGAGAAGGTGCCTCCACAGCGCCCTACAAATGCTACTGCGAGGATATTTTAGACGTTTTTTCATGTTTTTTCTTAACTGTCTGAATAAATAAATAAATAAATTCTGCATATTTTATCCCATATAGGTTAAGAATTGTGTGTTGCTCATCGTCCTATTTCACATATGAGTATACATATATATATACATATATATATACATATATATATATATATATATATATATATATATATATATAGTAGTAGT